GAAGATGTCCATGTGACATGCTGACATGTATCTAAGTATTGTGGGGGAATAAGAAATATCCACTCCCAAAACTTACATCCTCTACAAGCTACAATATCCTTTGTTACCTTCATACTATGCACCTAATATAAATTATACTTTTCTGCACTACCACTGAATTATGTAGAATTAAAAGTGAAAAACCTGGTGATAAAAATCCCCAGCTGCAACAAAACATATATAGAATAATATTTTTGCTTTTTTCATACATTACCATGCTGAGAAGTATTACTACTTTTATATTTTCAGAGCTATAGATGAAGACAGAAAAACAAAGTACAAAGCTGCAGTCAAGATCCAGCGCTGGTTTCGAGCATGCAGGGTCCGAGCCTACCTGAGGTAGTATATTAAACTTTTCTTAATCCATGTTTCAGTGTTGAATTTTCTCCTCAAAATTTCTCATGGTATTACTTGCTTTTAGTAATATTGGAGCATTTGGAAAAAAAAAAAAAAAGAAGGTAATAACTGTTATCCAGTTTTTCAACAGAATTAAATATATGCTGTGGCACTATAAGAAATAATAAGTTTTGACTTTCAGAATTGTGTACAATAAAAAAGGCGTGATATTAGAAAGCAAGGAAATTATCTTCAGACTAGATAGTGTTGTTTAAGAAATCTTGTTATGTCTGGACAAAAAAGAAACAACTAGATGTCCCTTGGATACTCTGTTTCAGCATATAGAATATAGAATTATAGAATATCCTAAGTTAGAAGGGCCCACAAGTATCTTCCAAGTCCAACTCCTGGCCCTGCACAGGACAATCCTAAGAATCACACCATGTGCATGAGAGCAGTGTCCAAATGCTTCTTGAACTCTGGCAGGCTTGAGCTGTGACCAAGCTTCTCTGGGAAGCCTGCTCCAGTGCCTAACCACCCTCTGAGTGAGAAAACTTTTTCTAATATCCAACATAAATCCTCCCAACACAGCTTCAGGCCACTCCCTAGGGTCTTGTCACTGGTCACCAGAGAGAAGAGATCAGTGCTTGCCTCTCTGCTTCCCCTTGTGAGGAAGGTGTTGACTTCACTGAAGTCTCACTTCAGTCTCCTTCAAGCTGAACAGACCAAATGACCTCAGCTGCTTCTCGTGTGGCTTCCCCTCAAGGCCCTTCACCTGCTTTGTTCTGGGAAATGCTGTATCAATTCCAAACGTGATCTGGGAGGTTGTTTCCAACCTCAGTGATTCTATGATTTTATAACATTGTTACGTATTTCCTGGAAACTGTGGTTGGTTCATTCTCCCAAAAAACCGTCTTCCATTTTTTATGTCATACACTCAACTGCTCAAGCTCATCTGCTCAAGCTTCTGTATCTTCATAAAACAGGGCAGCTGAGGAAGAGGTCTTCTAGTTTGACCTCTTGCCTGTTGCAAGGTCAAAGCCTAAAGAATTATTAGCTTAAATAACATTTACTACTCAATGCCCAGTATGTCCCTCATAGGAAGATAGGCTGCAGTCATTGTGTACACTTATAATAAATGTACTCAAGCTGCATCAGAGGAGGTTCAGATGAGAAACTAGAAAAAAAAAATTAAATCAAAGATTGATTAGGCATTGCAGTGAGTTGCTTGGGAAGATGGTGGTTAGAGACACCACCTCCTGAATTTCAACATGTATCTGGATGTGGCATTTGGAAATATGATTTAGAGGTGATATGGTGCTGCAGGGTGGACAGTTGGACTAGATCATCTTGAAGCTTTCTTCTAACCTTGATTGATTCTATAATTTTGTGATTGTCTCTGGCTTACTTAGGAGTACCGACTCAATGTAGCCAGTTCTCAATATTCTGAACTACCCAGAGACTGCCTTCATTGAATAGAGTGTAAGATTTAAAAGTTTGATGTCCATAGGTAGGTGGTATGAATGATGCCCTTTAATGCTTTTTCTAGGCAGTCCCAAAGTAATGATTCTATCATTTTCTGCAAAAATTTATGTGACATAAATTATGAAATTTTTAGTAGCAACATATATGTCTATAAATAAATTAATTAATAAATTAATAAGTGACAAAGTAAATATTTACTATTAAGCTAGGTGTAATTTTATAAAAGCAAAAAGGTATCTAAAAGTGAATAAAATATTTAGAAATTCAAGTATCAGTAAGTTTTGTCAAATAGTTAAAAATGGTACAGCTGTGAAAATGTTGCACATGACAGAAAAAATTCTGGATTGGTCAGATTTGTTGGTTAAAACCATGAAAAATGCAATTTATTATGCAAATTAAATTTATAATAGTTTTTCATTAACCTTTTCTAATTGTATACAGGTAAGTTTGCAGTAACCCACATTTTCCAAGAACAAAATATGTGTGTATGAAGAAATATATATATATAATGGTGTATATGTGTGTGTGTGTGTGTGTGTGCACGTATTTATGTATGTATATGTATATATAGTATGCTTGTAGTGATAATTTTTATGATGCATAATACACTGTTATTTTTATTATTATGACAAGCTTATAGGTCTGAAGTCTGAAAAACTAATTATTTTCCTAATGTGTTTCATTTTAGACATCTGAGCAGAATGGTGATTTTGATACAGAAGTGGTGGAGAGGATATCTAAGAAGAAAAAACTTCAGAGAAATAGTGGAGGTAGAAAACTACTCTTTAAATTTTTGTTTGGTTATTTGTGGAATACGTATGAATAATTCATTCACTCATCATGAAATTAAAAAGCCGAAACTCAATCCTCTATACACACAGACACACACTTAACTTTACTGTAATGAAAAGCACCATTAATTTCAGAAAGCCTACTCATAACAGTCAAGTTAAGTCAGTGTTTAAGTGTTTGCAGCTCTGGAATATTGGTCCCCAAACCAGCAATGAGATCTGCTCATGCAGAAGTCTACTCACATGATACTAATTGTGGGATTGGAGCTTTATAAGATGCTTTTTTATTTTTTTTTTTTTTTTACTGCAGAACTTTTAATTTTGAAAGTAAAATAAGCCAATTTGTCTACACATTGCTATTTTATGTTTTAGTGGTACAAATTTCTTACTTAATGAACCTTGAAGTATTTGAGGTTTTGCCTTAAGGCACACAGCAGTCAATCTAATTCCTGAAGAGAGTGAAAGTGTGTGATAGCACATAAGCTAAAACCTCTGTTAACAGATTTATGGAACTAAGAAGAAAATAATTTAACATAAAATATGTGGTTTACTAATTTATCAATTTATGTAAATATTTTACAGGAGTGTTAAACTCATTAGTCATTTATTCTTGATTAAGTTTGTTAAATTGCTGTTTTTAAGTCAAAACAGACAATTCAGGAAGTAAAAAAAGAGCTATAATAAATCATATATTAAAGACCCGAGTTCATACTCCCTACTAAACTATGTTTTCAAGTAGCAGGACTCGTGTACCTGAAAGATCATTTATTTTTTCCCCAAGTCTATCAGTAATCTATGTAAAGATTTTCTCTCTTCCAACGTACTAACTGGCTTAATTTATAAATTATGAGCCATCCTGAAGGTGTGTGGTTTTCACTCATCTTCTAACAGTAATTCCTGAATACAAAACAGATAGCTGCATGGTTGCATTGGGTTCTTTTTTGAAAAAAAGTAGGACTTCAGCTGAATATTGTTCCTGAGTTTTAGGAAGGTTTGTTTAATCTAGTTAAGCTTCTGCAGAAGAGAGATATGATAATCTATCTTAAAATTTGTTAATGAAAAGAAAGAATCTCTGCAGTTGCTGGGACAAAGGAAGGAAGGAATCAGCGTGATCAAACAGACTTCTTGTAGTCACAAACCTGAGACAGCTAACTCCCCTCAGCTTTCTGTTCTTGAATATAATTCTGAAAAGTAAAATAAAATAGTCTTTAATCAATAAAGCCTTGTGCATACTTAGTTCTTCAAATAGACATAACTGAAAAACTTGCCAAATCTGAAGTCTATGGAACAATGTAGGACAAAAAATTCTGCAACTTAATACATACATTCTAAATCAGATCATTAATTCATCCAATTTCTGGGTTCCAGAATTTATTCAGTGTTAGCCAGGGCTCAAAGACAATCTCATCAGAAAGCTTACAAATTTTACAGCAATCAGCACAGGAAATTATCTTTTTCCCTCAAATACTACATTTTGTTCTTGCCATCTCTTTGACTGGAGAAGACTAAACAGGACAGCTTGATTGGAAGCCAAGCTGAGTACCACAAGAGTATCAGATAAAAAGGTACATTCTGCTGCCTTTGGACCGCTATATTCAGTGTGTTTTGGGGTGGACTTAAGTGTAAAGTCCTTATATTTGTTGTTTTACTATCTTTACTCAATTAATGGCTGAACTTGGAATTTGTAAAGAGCCAAATCTCAGCAACTTAGCATAACATTAAAGTTAAAGGATAAGGCAATGTTTTTTGTTGGTTTTTTTTTTAATGAACTCTTGCCAATAACTGTTGTAATGACTCCTGACTATGAAACACAATGATGCATTTGGCATGATAGTTCCTTAAATACACTGGTCACTTTTAAATTTGTCTGCTGATAATGATTGCATTGGTATCTGCTGCCAACAAACAAGGCAAAACATATGCACAAAATACCCATGATTGCTTGATAATAAATCATTTTAATGATTATATTCAAAATTGTGAAATGTGAATGGTACTGATGCGGAAAATAACAAAGGCTGAGGCTCATCAGATTGGCTGTCCATATGTGCATCACCACTAGTATTTCATTTGCTTCTCCTCTAGTGCCTTTTCCTTTGATTGTTAAGATAAATATTTTAAAAATAGGTAAAATCCTAAAAAAAAATGAACAACCATTGATGGCATTTATATGATTAAAGTTATGTGCCTTTCTATTCTAAATATTGGTGGTTTGATAGAAAGCTTTGTTTCCTAATTAATCTCAAGCTAAAATTAAGAAAAGCTCTCCAACAGTTTTCTTAATAGGTTGGTTACATTGATTGTGTCGGATTCTGAAACTTTTAATAACCTGTAGGAAGGGATGAGTTTTAGAACGAGGCAAACACCATAGCATGTGTATCATTGTTTCTATATTACTATTTTCCCATAGTCAAAGAATCATTTGCTAAAGCAAGGGGAATTGTAACATTTCATTATTATATGAAGCTGTTATGCATGATGGCCATGTTTTCAGTTTACTTTGGAAAGAGATGCAGTTAAGAAAAGTGAATATTATAGTTTGACACCACCCTAAGTAATTTAGCTTTAAGTCAACAACCAGTTTCAAATAATTGCAGTCCAATAGAAATTAGGCAAATGCCTATTTACTCTACAAAACCCTCCAAAATACACCATTACCCCATTCACAATTTAGAGTATGTGTTGCTTCCTTCTCTCAACCTCGATCTCACTCTCAAACTCAGTCACATTCCTGCTTCTTTTTGAATTTGTTATTTTGTATTAACTCTTCAAAGCAAAAGAAGACACCAATCAGAGCACATTTGTAGATGATCCCCAAGCATGTTTTTAAATACAAAAGGAGAAAGTACTACAAAAGTTTATATATATATAAGGCTTCAAATATGTTCTAAAAACCTACACTTAAGGTAAGCTGGTAGGAAGGCCTGTACATTAATACATTATTAATGTCAGACTTCATGACAAAGACATCCTGGCTTTGTGGTACATGAGGTGGTAGAGGTGGTACATGGATGAGATGGGAAAGTAATTATTTCTAGAGAGTCAACCTGGTAGTGTCACCCTTGAATTGGCATTTAGTGGAAAAATTAAGGGCATCCAATGGGCATGGGATGAACTGCATGAATTTCCACTTAAGCAAAAAGTGTTTTCTGGACAAGCAGGACCTAGTTCAGGAAAGAATCTTTTGTTTATTGGGAGACCATGTAAATGTAGACTTGGATTGAAGCACTAAATTATGACTCTGCTTTTGTGAATAGCAATGAACACCTTCTCCATCATTTTTAATAGTAAAACTTTCTAATCAGGATTAGAAAACAAAGGGCGAATACATTTGCAAAGGAACCTAGATGGTGAGACAGCCTTTGGCTTTTTGTGAAAGAATGAAGTTTTAAGACAGTTGCATGAGCAGTTCTGTATTTGGGAGACTTGTGATTTAGAACAAGAGTTGAGTTATGGCAGGAATGTGTAACTTCCTTCTTGTTTTGAGTGACCCTGTTAAATGGTGGTAGGGTAAGGCCTGGATTCCTCACACCTTAGTGGGGTGTGCAAAATCAGACCTTAGGTGCCGCACATTGACTCTCTCTCTAAATAGTAGACAGAGTTCTTCAATACTTGACCAAGCTCAGAGTAAAAGTGGTCCCATGTTGTCTCTCAGTATGGATGACATAAAGAGCATTAATGATGTTAGGTCTCCAATTTATGTTCTTCAGTGAAATGGGATGCATTCAGACCTAAGTGCTCACAGCCTTCAAATATGAGATGAATAAACAAAAAGCTGTAAAATTGTTTAGTTTAATCACTGATGGACAGAAATCTGATGAATATTTTTAAGTTCAGGAACATGTTAAGCTTCCATTAAAATGCATTTTATCTATTTGGTGATGTGGTAACTCTTACGTTCCCTTCCAAAGAAAGAAAAGATGAGCTGCAACCCAAAATTTTATCCATTTAGTTGAGCATTTTAGAGATATGCTTAAGTCAGGCAACCATTATTTCAATCCATTATTAGCTATCTACAGTTAGTATTGCTCAGTAAATACTTATGGAGAATAAGGAGGAGAGAGACAGTCCATCATTTATTCTAATTTGTACATTATTTGAGGTAGATTTTCCCTTGACTATATATATGTATATATCTATGTGTATGTATACACATTCACATGTATGTGTGAAACTTCTTTGAACTTTAACAACTTTGCAATTTTCTTTCACATAAGAAATATCTTTTGTACTGTTTCCATTATTAGTAGATTGGTATGATATTAAAGTGAGCATTTAAAATGCACCTTAATTAAACTGCAGGAATTATGCCTTGCTTAATGTAATGAAGAAAGAGAATTTAAAATGAAGTAGCATCATTGTGTTCATTTGTAAATAACATATTGCAGCCAACTGTTTCTTAATTGCCCAGACTGTTGATAAATAATCCAGTCCTGCTGCTCTCCACAGACAATTTGCTTTGGATCAGACTAGGCAATTCAAATAACACTAATTACAGTGAAACCCTTTTATAGTGAATTCCTGTTTGCCATGGGGGAGAAAATCACTATATCAGGGGAAAGCACTTTTGCCTTTGATTTGTGTCTAAAACATGAGAAACACATAAAAGCTGCATGTTGTGCTAAATAAAGGACATACTCTTGCATTCAAAGTACTTATATTTTACTTTTTATGATACAATTGTGAATTATGTTCATTTTGCATTTGTAATTAGAGGGCGGAACAGATGTGAAAGCTTAGTTTAAAGTGATGTATCCATTAAAATAACCTATGCTGCCAAGTGATTGCTTAGTATAATAGGGGATTCGTTCACTATGAGAGGAATTCTACTTTATTGGAAGGAAACCAGGACTTCAGGAAATGTTTTCTATATCAGGGGATTCACTGTAACATGGTATCATTGTATTTATGATTTTATGATGTTAAAATGAATATTAAATGAAACAAAATTCCCAACGATTACTCGTGAGGCAGCTAAGTACATAACATTTAGTACAGATGGTTGGAAGGCACAATTTTGCTCCATCACTGCATCCGTATCCTTGAATGATTTCGACTGAAGACAGCATTTCTCTGAATTTTTCATTAAACCAGACATCTTGAAATATGAATTCCTTTTATGTTTCTGTGAGTTTTGGCTAAAAGAACCCCAGTGAATAAATCATACAATACTACATGTCACCAGCACTTGTGAATATTTCTGCTTTGTTATTCTACTCTCAGTAGAGCACCATTGATTATCAAACTCAGCGGAGAGCATTTTATGATCATATATCTCCATTAGCTCCTAGTTTGACTACCATAGATTTTTCTGGTTAAGCCTGCATTATGTATTAGGAAGCCTATCTCTTCAATACAAAGTTTGATTTTATTCTCTCTAAGCCTAGAACTCTTATTATGTATTATGTATAAAGATTCCTATCTTTTATATGTAAAAATAGCAGGACTGTCTTTGTGTAACTGAAATATATGCCTTTTTTTTTTTTTTTTTTGCTTCACAGAGAGCATATTTTATTAAGAAGCTGAAATTCTACAATGAAATGGCTGTCAGGGTAAATATTTCTTCACTTGTTAAACAAATGAAAAGTCAATTGTGCTCCGAATTTGCTTTTAATAAAATGAGCAAAGCAGAATAATATACATTTGATTGATATGCTGATGGCAACAGCAGGACGTACTACATAGTTAAAAATTAAAGTTACACTGAGTAGTCTGGGTTGTGTTTGAAAACTGTAGCTGAATTTGAGGTGTCTGAATGTGTCTTGCCCCATTTAAATCTCCATTGGATCTTATTATGTATGATGCTGATAAAACTCCCAAACATTCTATCTGCCAGTGTTCCTACAAATGTAAGAACATTTGTTTTACTAATGTAACTGTGCTTTTTCTCTTGTTAGTACATGACATTTGAGGTACTGGATCTCAAGAGTTAGAGAGCACAGGACAATTTCTCTCTTAAACACAGAGGTGGAACTGAACTGATCTCATTGATGATATTATCAGTGAATTTTTCTAGATGAAGAAGAGTATAAACAGACCTTGAACTTCAAGGATGAAGTTTGTTGTGGGTGAAACTGCGAAATGTATTTAATTAGAAACTAGTTTGTTTGTTTTTTTTTTATTTTGAACTTTGATACTGAACTTGAAAAAATATGTAAAACAAATATGGGAAAAACATAAAATAATTTTTAGGGTTAAGTCCTTTTATGTTATATATTTCTTTCATTTTGTGATACAAAACTGCTTTACTTTGTAGGCCTGTATCTTTTTAGGCCAGGCACCTTGCCTTTTGAGTTCTATCAAATGTATGAATATGGTGACAATGGAGATTAACCCAGGGATTAACCCAGGGAAACTTGTGTAGAATAAGAAGATTCTCAGAATGGATTTTAATTTTGTGGCCCTTCTGAGTCCAAAATAACTCAGTCAAGAGCTCTGTACTCATCAGGTGTTTTGCTGAGTTTTGATTCTCTAAAAGGCACAAAGTAGCCTTAGGTTTGGTGCGTATTAAAGAACTGAAGGTATTTAACAGCAGTTTAGTACCTCAAAAATGTACCTTTTTGTTATAGTTGATTCCTTACTTAGCTAGTTTGAAAGTATTCCACAGTGGAAAAATGCTGTTTACTCATGCTGCTGGGATAAGTGGGGGAACATAAGATGTAAGTCAGCTCTTAAAAGTTGCCTCTGTACTTCCAGAAGACATCTGAAGACCAAATTTCAGAGGTAATTATGTATTCTAGTCAAATGGAGTTTTGCATTTGGTCTTTCATTTTTAAAAGAAATTGAATGTGTTCCCATTCATTTGTAATGGAAATATAATGTTGAATCATTAGGTGATATAAATCTTCAAAGTACTGCTTTTTCAGTCATGTCCTTTTCTTTAATGGAAATTTAAATCAGTAGAAAACAATAGAACAGATCTTTATTTAGTTGCAGATGTCAGAATCTGATTCTCCTCTGTCTAAATTTTGTGCAGCCAGATCTGCAGAGCAGACTTAAAATGCTACCAATCTGAAACACTTAATGCCTTTGGGTTTTTTCTGTCATGTGTTTCTTGAAGAACTACCCAAGGTCCAATAGCAAATCAGGCCTGTTGAATTTCTGCATAGATGATGTCTGCTTAGACTTTAGGCATTCTAAGCCAACAGTTCCTTATATTCACGCATCATGAGCTTGATTTATGATTAATATAACTCAGTGTTCTAAAAATATAGAAATAACTGTGTATGTTTTTCTATTTAACCACTTAGTTTTGTCTCATGGTATTAACTATTTATTTCAATTTATAGTCACTCTAGAGAAAGGCAGTTTCAGTTTTGGCATTTGAAGTATTATTGAGAGCATACACACGATCATAGTTTTGATGCCAGTTTACATATCTTGTCCTTCTGGATTGCATTTCATTGGAATCAGAGCTATTAGTTTTACCTTTTAAAATTAAATCAGAGATCTTGTTTAAATCAGTTTCAGTTTCGAGGCAAAATATGATTCTCTCTCTTAAAAGGTTTAAGGTTGCTGTAAATTTTCAGCAACAAAAATAATCCTATGGCAAAAAAATCCATGAGCAGATGGCTTTTGATATATCAAGGTTTTGCCATTTGTTTTAGTGCTTAAAATAAACATTATTTATAAGACCACTTACATTTTGATGTTACTTAATGAGGAATATGCATCATTGATTTGACTAGCTTAAGAGGTCATTTAGAACTTGCCCGTTAACAAGCTGTAATCTGCTGAGCACACAATGACTTTGTTTAAAATTATCTGTTCAGTGCTGATCAATGACAATAATTGTTTTGTACCAATCACTGTTGAAACTTGCTAATTACTTTGAAGGGCATACGCACACTTATCTCTTCTTTTTCAAGAATTTTTTAAACATTCACCTTGGAATTAAAAAGAAATGCAGTCATAACATTATACTTCTTTACAAAAGCAAACATTCAGAACTTTCACATTGAAAATATGAGCATCATTAGAAGCTTTTTACAAAATGGTCTTTCCTAAAAATATTAATCTTCAGTTTTGGGATTGCTGACATAAAGTATTAGGGAAACAGAAATCAGACATAAAATAATTTGAGTCACAATGCAGTTTTTCTTACTTATGTTTCATTCAGTTGAAATCAGTGAGTTCATTCTGAACAGAAAGTGGTGTAAATAAAGGTAGAGTGCATCTTTTAATTGGTACACTGAGCCCATTGGAGGTAATTATAGCTTTATACTACTTGAGCCTTTTGTCTTTCAGTTTGAGTTTTGATCATTTAACCCAGAAATATCCAGTTCTGCATTTATAACTGTGAGGTGAAAACTGTCAGAAAGAGTTTCAAAGGGACCATAATCCTGCATTAATGAGCGCATGGCTATATGGGAGCCAAGTTGCTCTTGTTGAGAAATTTTGAAGCCAAACAGAAAAACAAAGCTAAGATCCTTATTCACATGCAAAGGATTTTGCTTAATCCCAGATCTCTGAAGGCATACTCATTCTCTGCTCTTTCTCTATTCCTTTTTAACCCAATAAGCTGCTGTATGAGAAAGCAGTGTTGGAAATAATATGAAATTTACCATCGCCTACTGCAAAGCAGCATGTCTAGAATCATTCTTGTTCCCAGAACTCTTATTCGTTCATATCTCAGTAATATCTAGAGGTCCAAACCCTTTTCATTTAAAAAAAACCAAAACAACAAAAATGAACAAAAACAAAACAAAAAAATAAACAATCCCACAAAAAAAAACCCAAACCAAAACAATAACAAGAAAAACAACAACAACAAAACAAACAAAAAAGTCACAAACAAATAACAACATGTAGTTAAAAAAAAATCCATCTTTTCAAACTAGTTTCAAGTCTTATTTTGGAAGGGAGGAAAAATCCATGCTGATACACAAAGGGGAAATAGGAGAATATATTAACTTGGGAAGTTAGTATCCTCTTATTCTTAATAACTAACACATGCCTGAAAGAATTACTGAAAGCTTTTCTGTGATTCTTATTCTCTTGTTAAATCTCACATAAAAAGACAATCATAACTGTACCCCAAGGTGTCATCAGTTGAGGCCAAATGCTGGTTTTTACTTTGAAGAGTAGTGTTTGGGGGTTTGTGAATGCGAAAATGGTGACAAACTATGAAATATTCAGCCCTGCTTTAGTTGGTCTCCTTTTATATGTCCAGTAAAAGTCTGGAAGTGGAAAAATTGCAAAAACTTCTGTCAGTTTTCACAGTGGTACAGAATTGCACAGCACTGGAACTGGTAGGAGTAGAGAATTTTGCCTGTTACTGAAGAGCACTCCCAAGACTTGATGATAAAGATTCTGAAATTACTGAGTGCAATGGTTACTGATAATGTGGGCAATTGGCAGCTTTTTAAAATTTGCCTTCTTCCTGAATCAAACACAAAGTCTGTGACATTCTTTCCCCCCTCCCCGTTTTTAAAAAAAAAATAAATATCTAAGAAAAAAAGAGCCAAATAGCACAAACACATGGATTTCACTCCACTTAAAAAGTTGTCCCTTGGCTCTGGAAAGAGAAATGTTGATGTAAAGAAAAAGAAAAAAGTTTCTTATAGATACACCCATGTGTTTAAATTCTTAAGAAGTTTGGTAGCTAGGGGCCCACAGGAAAAGGAGAGCTGTTAGTACTTAGCAACATTTTACTCTTCCATGCATTTAAATAAGGGGAGTAGCTTCTGGAGAGTAAAACCTCCAACTTCCTGCTTTTTAAATCTAGATTCTGCTTTTCAGCTGTCTTTTAAGATTTCAAAGCTATAAAGGTCAAAGAGATGGATGTTGGAGCAACTGAAGCTACTGCTGACTAGAAGATAGAAATTGGGAGATTAAAGTAGAAAAATACTGAGGAAAAAAGGAGATAAAATGCAATTTAGGAAGTAAAGAATATTTTGCAGGAAAATTAATAATAAATTCAAGGATGGAAGAATTTAACAATGGAGGAACTACACCCTGAGAAGAGAGGAAAAGATGGTTACTCTGTTTTTCAGATGTAGAGATCCAGGGTACACTGACCTCTGATGGCAAGGAAAATCAGGTGCAAGAGCAGCCCTCAGCATGACTGAATAGAGCAAGTTACATTTTTCACCTCTTCATGTCCTGGCATAAGGATAAATATATCTCACCAAATGGCAGTTCTGCTAGCTTTTTACCTAANCCTTTGGGTTTTTTCTGTCATGTGTTTCTTGAAGAACTACCCAAGGTCCAATAGCAAATCAGGCCTGTTGAATTTCTGCATAGATGATGTAGAATGTAGAATGCCTTAGACTTTAGGCATTCTAAGCCAACAGTTCCTTATATTCACGCATCATGAGCTTGATTTATGGTTAATATAACTCAGTGTTCTAAAAATATAGAAATAACTGTGTATGTTTTTCTATTTAACCACTTAGTTTTGTCTCATGGTATTATTAACTATTTATTTCAATTTATAGTCACTCTAGAGAAAGGCAGTTTCAGTTTTGGCATTTGAAGTATTATTGAGAGCATACACACGATCATAGTTTTGATGCCAGTTTACATATCTTGTCCTTCTGGATTGCATTTCATTGGAATCAGAGCTATTAGTTTTACCTTTTAAAATTAAATCAGAGATCTTGTTTAAATCAGTTTCAGTTTCGAGGCAAAATATGATTCTCTCTCTTAAAAGGTTTAAGGTTGCTGTAAATTTTCAGCAACAAAAATAATCCTATGGCAAAAAAATCCATGAGCAGATGGCTTTTGATATATCAAGGTTTTGCCATTTGTTTTAGTGCTTAAAATAAACATTATTTATAAGACCACTTACATTTTGATGTTACTTAATGAGGAATATGCATCATTGATTTGACTAGCTTAAGAGGTCATTTAGAACTTGCCCGTTAACAAGCTGTAATCTGCTGAGCACACAATGACTTTGTTTAAAATTATCTGTTCAGTGCTGATCAATGACAATAATTGTTTTGTACCAATCACTGTTGAAACTTGCTAATTACTTTGAAGGGCATACGCACACTTATCTCTTCTTTTTCAAGAATTTTTTAAACATTCACCTTGGAATTAAAAAGAAATGCAGTCATAACATTATACTTCTTTACAAAAGCAAACATTCAGAACTTTCACATTGAAAATATGAGCATCATTAGAAGCTTTTTACAAAATGGTCTTTCCTAAAAATATTAATCTTCAGTTTTGGGATTGCTGACATAAAGTATTAGGGAAACAGAAATCAGACATAAAATAATTTGAGTCACAATGCAGTTTTTCTTACTTATGTTTCATTCAGTTGAAATCAGTGAGTTCATTCTGAACAGAAAGTGGTGTAAATAAAGGTAGAGTGCATCTTTTAATTGGTACACTGAGCCCATTGGAGGTAATTATAGCTTTATACTACTTGAGCCTTTTGTCTTTCAGTTTGAGTTTTGATCATTTAACCCAGAAATATCCAGTTCTGCATTTATAACTGTGAGGTGAAAACTGTCAGAAAGAGTTTCAAAGGGACCATAATCCTGCATTAATGAGCGCATGGCTATATGGGAGCCAAGTTGCTCTTGTTGAGAAATTTTGAAGCCAAACAGAAAAACAAAGCTAAGATCCTTATTCACATGCAAAGGATTTTGCTTAATCCCAGATCTCTGAAGGCATACTCATTCTCTGCTCTTTCTCTATTCCTTTTTAACCCAATAAGCTGCTGTATGAGAAAGCAGTGTTGGAAATAATATGAAATTTACCATCACCTACTGCAAAGCAGCATGTCTAGAATCATTCTTGTTCCCAGAACTCTTATTCGTTCATATCTCAATAATATCTAGAGGTCCAAACCCTTTTCATTTTAAAAAAACCAAAACAACAAAAATGAACAAAAACAAAACAAAAAAATAAACAATCCCACCAAAAAAAACCCAAACCAAAACAATAACAAGAAAAACAACAACAACAAAACAAAAAAGTCACAAACAAATAACAACATGTAGTTAAAAAAAAATCCATCTTTTCAAACTAGTTTCAAGTCTTATTTTGGAAGGGAGGAAAAATCCATGCTGATACACAAAGGGGAAATAGGAGAATATATTAACTTGGGAAGTTAGTATCCTCTTATTCTTAATAACTAACACATGCCTGAAAGAATTACTGAAAGCTTTTCTGTGATTCTTATTCTCTTGTTAAATCTCACATAAAAAGACAATCATAACTGTACCCCAAGGTGTCATCAGTTGAGGCCAAATGCTGGTTTTTACTTTGAAGAGTAGTGTTTGGGGGTTTGTGAATGCGAAAATGGTGACAAACTATGAAATATTCAGCCCTGCTTTAGTTGGTCTCCTTTTATATGTCCAGTAAAAGTCTGGAAGTGGAAAAATTGCAAAAACTTCTGTCAGTTTTCACAGTGGTACAGAATTGCACTGCACTGGAACTGGTAGGAGTAGAGAATTTTGCCTGTTACTGAAGAGCACTCCCAAGACTTGATGATAAAGATTCTGAAATTACTGAGTGCAATGGTTACTGATAATGTGGGCAATTGGCAGCTTTTTAAAATTTGCCTTCTTCCTGAATCAAACACAAAGTCCGTGACATTCTTTCCCCCGCTCCCCGTTTTTTAAAAAAAAAATAATATCTATTTATTTGAAAGAGGTAGGCTAAGAAAAAAAGAGCCAAATAGCACAAACACATGGATTTCACTCCACTTAAAAAGTTGTCCCTTGGTTCTGGAAAGAGAAATGTTGATGTAAAGAAAAAAAAAAAGTTCCTTATAGATACACCGATGTGTTTAAATTCTTAAGAAGTTTGATAGCTAGGGGCCCACAGGAAAAGGAGAGCTGTTAGTACATTGCAACATTTTACTCTTCCATGCATTTAAATAAGCAACATTTTACTCTTCCATGCATTTAAATAAGGGGAGTAGCTTCTGGAGAGTAAAACCTCCAACTTCCTGCTTTTTAAATCTAGATTCTGCTTTTCAGCTGTCTTTTAAGATTTCAAAGCTATAAAGGTCAAAGAGATGGATGTTGGAGCAACTGAAGCTACTGCTGACTAGAAGATAGGAATTGGGAGATTAAGGTAGAAAAATACTGAGGAAAAAAGGAGATAAAATGCAATTTAGGAAGTAAAGAATATTTTGCAGGAAAATTAATAATAAGTTCAAGGATGGAAGAATTTAACAATGGAGGAACTACACCCTGAGAAGAGAGGAAAAGATGGTTACTCTGTTTTTCTGATGTAGAGATCCAGGGTACACTGACCTCTGATGGCAAGGAAAATCAGGTGCAAGAGCAGCCCTCAGCATGACTGAATAGAGCAAGTTACATTTTTCACCTCTTCATGTCCTGGCATAAGGATAAATATATCTCACCAAATGGCAGTCCTGCTAGCTTTTTACCTAATTACAGAATCACAGAATTACAGAATCATTTAGTTTGTGAAAGGCCTCTAAAGGCATTGAGTCCAACCTTTGACTGATCACCACCTTGTCAACTAGACCATGGCACTAAGTGTCATGTTCATTTGTTTCTCAAACTCTTTCAGGGATGGTGACTCCACCACCTTCCTGGGCAGCCCATTCCAATGCTTAATTGTCCATTCTTAATGCTTACTTTGCCATGCCAAAAACCAGATAGTAACAACAGGCAAGTGTTTCAGAAACTTCATTATTAGAATTTTCAAGTATCAGAGATTTAAACACAATTGTTGAAATCAGTTCTTAGGGGAAGTTGGGTAGACTAAGTAGGTTTTTTTCCCCTTCTCTTTTATTTTCTTCTTTCTCTCTTTTATTTATTTTTTTTTTAACTGATGCTTTTCAAAATGCACCAAAATATTAACCCTTTTTGGTGGAGGATGCTACCTAATTTCTATTCATAATACAATTTTATAACTAGCTACAGATAAAGAGCTTTTCTCCTTCAGGTTAAACTTCCTCTAGGTTAGGCTTTCTCTGTTATGCAAGAGAATAGTATTTCTTAAGAACAATTAAATTAATGTGGAACAATAATAGACATGAATCATTTTACATTGGAGATGAAAGAACTGCAATTTATAAGTGAATTTCCCAGAAAGCCAGATTCATTGGGTTCCTGGGAAGGCTTTTATTCAGTTTACACCTTTGCAGAGCATGAAGGTGAAAGTGCAGCAGAAGATGTAGGTGAGGTGGTGACTCAGTGCTACAAGATGTTACAACCTACACTCATTTTCTTCACTGAAACTTATAGGTGTTTCTACTTGGTATCACTTTTAAAGGAAAGAAGTACTTGGGATATGGTACATATATTTGATATGTATGAAAACTTTGGATTTGAAATATACTAAACAAATATTTATTTCCTCCAGATCCAGAAAATGTGGCGAGGCTATTATGTTCGGAAGTATATCCATAATTTTTATGTACTGAAGAAATACCTGAAAGCTGTTTCTGTGAATAATGAGCTTGTCAGGTAAAGATAAAAGCTCCATATGGTAAAGCATTCACTTGTTCTTCTTTTATTTGTAGAAACTTTGTGGCACTAATTAAACTCTTTGAGTATAAGTTCCCCTCCATTATCAAATGTATGTATCTATCAGTCATCATTCTCTTTATCCTATGTCTATTCATGTTGCACTGCATTCTGTTCTCATTTACACTGTTATGAATTCAGAATAATTTCTTTGAATTAATTAGGTGTGCTCTGCGTTTGTACTAGTTTAATAAAAACGGATTTGTCTCTTCACCTATGTTCACAACTCATAGGTTATTATGTTCTAAATTTTTGTGTTTAGGGTTTGTTGAACTAGATTTTTTTCCCCAGTATACACAAGCTAACCAAAAATTTATTTTTATAATTTGTTTTGAATGTGGATTATTGACAGTGAATGCAAGGGCAGATTTGGATGCATGAGCCGTACTATGAATATTAACAGGGAAAGATACTTGTGTGGATACAGTGAAGCAGAGTCTTTCTGTAGTTACAGAAGAAAACCAATAGCCAGTCAGATTTCTGTCTAGAACTGTTGTTGCTCTATGTTCTTACTCTGTTTCTCGTATCCATCCATTGTCTTTCCTGTTCTTAAGCTGAAACCTCTCTAAAATAGAGGTAATTATTTCCCTCTAGTAGATTTGATATCCTGATGAACAGATGAAATGCTGGGTGACCATGATCATTACTCTCTCAGTGTAAATAAAAGCTGTTGGACAAAATCCATGCAGTGTTTGCCATTCACAATGTCTGAGACAAGTCTTTGCTTTCCCAGGCACAGAAATATAAGGGAGTCTAGTAAACCAGTGTTTCTAGAAATCTTGTCAAAATCACATGGATTGCATGTTACATAATTACATGGATTATATGTTACATAAAGCACCACATGCAAGTTATATATGAAAAAACCCCAGGATATATGTGAAAAAACCCAACTTCTATGTATGCTAGTTATTAATGATATTATTCTTCCACAGTACAGCTGGTGCTACATCCTCTTTGTCATAACATTAATTTTTGTGCATTACATTGTTACCTGTAATGAACCATACTGATAGTCACCTACTCTCATTATTATTCAAGTGTATTCTGTGCAGAAAGTTAGGTCACAACTCAGCAAAATCAGACTTAAACATTCTGTTATGGCTTCAATGGTATTTTCTTGATCTGAAATCCTTGAAATATTCTTTCTTCTTGAAAAGGTAGAACTCTAGGAAGACTTGATCACATCTTAGAAAATAAGTGAAACCATAACTTCTCTGCTTTAAAATCCATATCACTGGATGAACTGCAAAACCATAATCTGCTTCTCTGTTCATAGTCATTCTATCGCTCTTCTCCATTCCCTGTCTAAACCTAGACCATGGCTCATAACTTGTTGCTTAGGTTGACCTTTGATGTGTGCCAACAAAACTGGATAGCAAGTGGTATTCCTGCTGCACTGTGGACATGGAATGGTTGGAGCTTGTGTTTTATTTCCCCACACCCACAATAGATCTCTGCTGAGTATACCTAACTTCAGAAGGCTACAAAAATATTTGGTTTTCAGTACTTTGACATGTTGATCACATTCCCTAGTGTTTAGTGTAGGTTATTAAAAAACATAAAGCTTATGCACTGCATAGATATTTTAATCAAGAAATGCTTCTGTGCTTTTTAACAGGTAAGATGAGCAGTATGACTTCAGGTACATCAAAATGTGTCAAAGCAAGTCTGTGTGAGCTCTTACCTGGGAACTGATATATTGATATTTTGCTAACTTGAGTTCTGCATTCAAGAGTTCACAGAAATACCTGTCTTTCAGGGTGAAAAAAAAAAATCCATCTTTGAAGTTAAAAAAACTTAAAAATTAATTTTTGAGATAGTTTGGACAAATGGATCTTATTGTTTCAGTTTTAAAAATGCATGAGTTCCCAAGTGCAGTCAAGAATCACTGCAGTAATCCCTTTACTGGGGTACATTTGAAAACTAATATGTATATCACCTTCAACATTCTTCTTATGAAATCTAACAGATGTTTAGTGAGGATTAGGTGTAGGCCCTCAGCCAAACAGATTTTTCCTGTCATTGGGCTAAGTTGTTGCCAACTACTTTGGCCCCAAGGTGGCCCACAGTGTTTCTTACATGGAATATTGAGCCAGGTGGAGGAAAGATTCTCCTCATATTTTCATTAGCCATTACATTGGCTCTGGACAAGTATATCCTCACTGTTCATAAACATTTTTGCATATAAAAATTATTGCAGCTGTGCACTGTAAGAAACACAAGGAATTGTCAGAATAGAAGGAATGCATTTATGGAATGGCTGTGTTTTATTAAAACATCAACATTATGGAAATTGACTTGTTGATGGGCAGAAAGATTGATACACTTGTGCACTCATATTAGACTGCCTTTGAGTGTTTCACATCTTTAGAACAACATTTCACATCTTTAGAACAACATTAAGCAACACAATGTGGAACATGAAATAATGCCAGTAAATACATGAAATTGATCCCTGCCTCCCCCATGAAGAAAACAAAAGATATTTTTAATTTCAAAAATTAAACAATTTTACAATTTGTAACAATTGTAAACAAGTTTACAATTTGTTCTTTCTAGAATTATGATGTAATTCTGAATTGAACTACACTGTACAGTTCTCTGTCTTATCTATTCTAGAGTAACACGTCTAAAATCACATTGCAAGTCCTCTTATTTTTTGGACACCAGAGCCAAGATTTGTGCCTAATTTTCTCCTCTTTTGTTAAGGAGGAGCCTATATCAAATCATCCCTCACTCATTTCTAAGAGAAACTTCAGAGGAAGGTCTCATGAAAATTTGGACATTCTGTTAAGTTTCTTATAACACAAAATCACAGAATCATAGAATCATTAGGTTAGAAGAGACCTTCAAGATCATTGAGTCCAACCTATGCCCTAACACCTCAACTAAATCATGTCACCAAGTGCCACATCCAGTCTTTTTTAAACACATCTGGGGATGGTGACTCCACCACCTACCCGCACGGATCATTCCAGTACTTTATCACTCTTTCTTTGAAAAACTTTCCTAGTATCCAACCCAATATTCCTAATATCCAATATATTTCCTTGGTGCAGCTTGAGACTGTGTCTTAAGATATATCTTAAAAGAGTAATTGACTAAAGTTTGTTTCCTTCTCATTCCACCTTTACCCTAGTTTTTTTAAAAATAAACAACACTTGTTGTACTAAGTGGTTTTCTCAACCAGTAGCCACATCTTTACCATTCAGCTTTAATACAAACCGTCCTTATTTAATAGCTGCCCTCATTTGGTAGCCAGACCTTTATCATTTGTCTTTAGTGTGAAAACCCCAGGAGAAAGTAAACTTAATAGAAGCTGCCCCAGCTTAAAGCTATAGAGGAATGTAATTAAGTTTAACAGAAATTGATTTAACAGAAATTGACCTAAAATATAATTAAATAATAATAGTCATATTATGTGTGAGTTTTCACTCACTTAACAGACTGGTTATGGCACTGTTAGACTTAACAGACTTAAGGCACTGCCTTTGTACAAATGGAAGATAACTCTCAGCTTTAGCTCCCAGACTGGCTAAATTCCTCCAGCATTCCTATCTCTTCCCACTGCTACAGAACCACTAGGTCTGATGGCTGCTGGTGTCCCCAGTAGAGCCCCTAGGAGTTACATTGAGAAATGCTTGAAAGAATCCCTTAAGAGATGGAAAAAACCAAATTTGAACCCTAAACTCTGTATACAGAAGGACATATTTGTATTTTTCTTAACATTTGTACAGTTTAATTTCAGTGTAGTGATGAAATGGGTTTGTTAATCTTGAGTTCTCTTTTGCCTAAAAGATATAGGAAGTTCTTAAGGAAGTAAGAAACTTGTTCTTAAATTTTATTTTACTATATTTTGTTACTTATATTTTAGTAATAAATCATTATCTGTAGCACCAAATTTTATTTAAGTACCAATATATACTATATTCTATCTCACCAATATATACTATATTCTATCTCAATATGGATTAGTTGGATGGTTTAATTTATAAATATATGCATGAAAGTAAATTTCATTATTTCTCAGTGCAGTTAGTGTATTTAATTTTAAGAGAAAATACTTTCTATACTTTCATTTGAAACATTCTTAAAGCTGCATTTACCATCTCCAAGAGCTGGCTAAATGGTTACAAGGGGAAATATGCCAAGAGCAATTAGCATAGGCTATAACTCCATATGATGCATTAGAATTTTGTTTTATGTGAAACAGTTTCCAGTCCATGATAAGCAAATGGACATCACTTCACATAAATTAGCATGCTGGTGCCATTATATCCGAAGAATTTATGGATGATGTCAGTTGCCCAACTGTGTGATTAACTTGCGGTTCTTTGCCTAAGGTTATCTACACACTGGCCTTTAAACTATAGTAAAGGAACTTTGCTATATGTCAGGTGTGCAAGTAGAGATAAGATTTTGGGATGTATTGCTCCATTTACTGATGAATGGCACCATTTAAATTTTTCCTGGAGGCACAGAACTGGGTAAAGATAGCAGTATCAGAAAACTAACAAAGCAGTGGCAAAGTACTGGCATTTATGTTCTTATGTAATCAAGGCAGATAGTTCAGCTTTCTTGGCTACTGAATAAACACTGACTTAAAAGTAGCAAACTAAGGCCTGAGTCTACCTTTAATTAGCATCATAGCTTACATAAACATTGTTGAGTTTAAAAATCAGTCATTTCACACATTTGCAGGGTCAACACCAAATTCTTCTTTCCATTGTTGGCGTTGGAAGTGAGTGGAGAGTGTGGCTTTGATCCAAGTTTGCCTAGCTGTTCTATCAGCAGATGTAGTTTCATAGTCATCATTAAAACTTCCAGGTCTTCAAGACACGTCAGGGAAATAGATAATATGAAACAATAAAAATCACTTTCTTGGCAGTATGTATATTCACAAATCATTTGTGCAGCTTTATTTTTTATAGCCCTAA